TATCAATCTGTGGTCTAACTTGAAAAACATAAATTAATGTTTTAGATCCCTTTGTTTGATACAGGAACATATTGCAACCAATTAAGAATTAGTGCGAATATCCGCAAATTTCAACAGAATAGCGATAACCAAAATAAGGCGGTTGACTAACGACACATATGTGATACTTTTGGGGCCAGATAAAGAATCAGTATTGTGAGTACTATGTTGATAAGCTACATGCTAATCAATACCATGATAGTTAATTTAAAATCCAAAGTATGTGATGGATACATAAAAAGAAAAATGCTCTTTCAGAATGTGTAAATAGCTTTTTATCAGAAATCAGTCAGTGGTCCTTCCCGAATGGCCTTAAGCTTAATCCCTAAAAAGTAGGACTGTTAATTTCACTTTCAGGCACACACGTGATCTATATGAACTGGTTCTTTTATCATAGATGGCACTAAAGTTGGAACTAAGTAGAATGTCAAATACCTCGGCTTATGTCTTTCTTATAATCCTCCCTCTTCTTCCCATATTATGTCCATCTCTAGAAAGATATTTCGTTTAACCTTCTATGTAAGGAAATGAAGACAATTTGGTGTCACTCAGTCTCTACTCTACAGTTTGTTAATTTGTGTATTCTACCAATTCATCTTTATTGCTCCCACTTAATCTTTGAACTGTCATCTGCATAATTTGATCACCCTTGAATGTTAGGTTAATAGGAATAACTTTCTTTGGAACAGAAACTCTCTTTTCAAGATGTGGTCTATGACTAATGTGACAATTGATAAAGTTTTCTGGATAACCACTGGTTAATAAAACTGAATATATGTGTCGAAGGTCATCCACTAATGTGTCACTCGTGCATATTTTGCGGGCCCTTGCAAACGAACATTTCACTAGGGAACATTCATACTGGGTAGGAACAAAACTGGTGAAGATATCGTCCACTCCATGACTGCTTAAGAAATACTGATCGCTTAATCGCTCCATCGTCTCTCCTAATCACTGAAATATCCAAAAAAACCGAGTTTGTTATTCGATTCGAATTCGGAAGTCACTCGCATATTTGGGTAGGATTAAACAGAGTAACAAAGTTTTCAATAGACTTACTATTATTACCAGTAATGAGTGCATAGTCCACATAATGTTTATATAGAACAAATTTTCCTAGCATTCGTTTCTCCAGTTTAGACACGAATATATCTGCTAACAAGGGTTCAAGAGAGCGCTCCACCGATTTGTTTGTATGCCTTTCCTTAAAAAGTGAATCTGATATTTTCTTCACAATGTAAGGTAATGTCTCTAATGTAAGCGACAAGAATAGGTAATTGTTTCCCATTGCTTGTGATGCAATCACAAATGAAATCAACAGTTTCATGTAGTGGAACACTGGTGAATAAAGATTCTATGTCGACTGAGCACATAACCTTTTCTTTCATGTTCAAAGTGTCTAGCACATTGGTCAGATAAAATGAACTTTTTAGAGAATGATTTGATAAGGAGTCTCTTACTGGCGTGAAGACCTCTGTAATCCATTTTGCGATTATATGATATGGAGAATTCGACATATCTAAGATGGGTCACAGCGGATTCCCAGGTTTGTGAGTCTTTGAAAGGCCATACAGCCAGAGAGTACGTGATCCAATAGCTCTAAGTTGTTTATGGAGTTTTTAATTCACGGAAAATTTTTCATTTATAAAACCATGCATCTGAAATTGACAATTAATCTGCTTTCCCACAAGCAGCAGTATTATCCATCAGAAATTTGGACTGATCCTTGGAGATTTCATTAATTTTATTTTGACAACGCCTTCTCCTTTGTGAGGTTTAAGGATAATAAGATTATCGTTATCGATTTAATTCCTGAAGTGCGGCGTGGTGTTCTTTTGATAAACCATTTTTTGATGTATTCTGGCATTTAGAAACTGGTAAGAAATGTCTACCAGTTCAACTTTAAACTAGTCCAAGTTATCATTATTTTTTTATTTCCTTCACATTCCCCACTGGAACATAGGGCTTCAAGTCTCTGTAGCAGTGTTTATTTTACAGGATGGGGTTGCTAGCCTCATGTCCAACCTTTCCTCTTTACCAGCATTATTCCCGGCTTAACGAGGTAAAGGAGTGCGGCGTCAGCCGGGATCGAACCCCGGATCATATGCATGGTCGGCGAGCGTCCTAACCGCTATACCACCGACGCAAATCCAAGTTATCTTTATTAAGGGGGCTAAATCAGAGATTTGTGCATACAGGTGTCCATATTGTGATTGGACTCCCATTTTGTTTATTTTCAGGTGGATAGTTTTGTATTTCAATCCGTACGATAATACTTCCAACTGTAGTTGGGATAGAGTGTAAAAAGATATATTAATTATGTGCTTGTGCACATCTAGAGGAAATTCTAAAATGTGATTCGTGTCTTTTAAAGATTTGTTTATTGAATATATCAAGATATTTCGAGCGCAGTTTATTGTTTATAATCATATCAATAAATTGCGCTCGAAATGTCATCAGTAAATAATACTATTTCATTGTGTGATTTTGTCAAATAAAATGATGCTATTGTAAAGAAGAAAAGACCGGTGAGACTCGAAGGTAATGTTTATTCGGATAAACGCGTTGTAGGTACTTCAATTTGGTATACCTTATCTTTAAGTCTTTATTTGCACACCATTTGCAGATTGGTCGAATATCACCACATTCGATTGCTTGTTGGATTCTGCACAGTGCTGTAAAGTTCTTGTTACAGTTCTCTTCTTCGACTGCTTTTTGCAGTTCCTACAAACTTTTATGAATTCGTTTACCGACAAACTACTTATATCTGATTATAAGTAGCACTCACCACACTATGACAGAAGTACAATAGATCAAGTTCTTCGCGTTTCTACTTAGAGAAGAGCTTTCAAGGATAGAAATGCAGAAGCCTAGTTTAATTTTTCATCCTTTGCAACAGCCTAAGATGTAGACAGTGCATTCACAGAAATAAGGTTTCAAAAACTTCTATGACACCACTTCAAAGTGTTCAATAACTAGTGGTTTATACATACATACTTTGAGTGGACACTAGTAACTAGTGTGAGGTGTCTAGTCCTTTCTTTGGTGTAGACTGAATTCTATCAGTCAGGTTTGCAATGAGGCCACAATTCTAGGTAGCTCGCCATCACGGTGTACATTGATTTGGTGATATTAGATGGTAACATCTCTGACTGCGGATGGCACTGGGTGACGCGAGTTCGAATCTCAGAAGTGACATGAGTTCCTTCAAGGTTGCAGATACGCCTTGATGACTGGTGAGTGCCAACTAGCACGAAACCTAGGTCCAAGGCTTCCTATGGCTGATTGCCTCCAACCATCTAATAACAGACATACATACAAATGTCATAGGTTATTGTCAATTAGTACAAAATAAGTCAAAGTGTATTAGAAAACATTTTGTAACTCTAATGTATGGTGTAATTTGAAGATGAGTTGAATATCAGTCAATGATAATATCATATCTACTCTCTTCGATAGACAACTACCTCTCATTTGCATTAACTGCGGAAGCAGCTACATTGGAAGAACAGAAAAGAAGGCCTACGTCAGATTCTTCGAACATGCACCAAGGCGCTTCAGGTTAAAGGGGCTCTTCAGTTACCAAACACCTGATACATACGGAACACTGAGTAGACGCACTGGGATCATCCAAAATATGTCTTTTTCAGTTTTCTGAGGCTATCACAATAAAATAGCTGAAATCTGACTTATGTGCATAAAGAGAATCTGTCGCTGAACTTCAATTATCCTAGTGACTCATCGCTTTAGTGTAACTGTTTGTTTTCTAATTCCATTAGCTTGTCGTTTCACTACACACCAATTTTCTTTCGTTTAACTTCTACAAGAGATAAGTTTTCTTGACCTTCTGAGTTCTATTCACCGTACTACACGATCATCTTTTCATTTTACCTCTTGCACATCAAGTTTTGATCTTCTGTTATCTAACTACGTAATAGTTACTAGTTTTTGTTACCACCCTAACAACAAATTTGTCAATTAGTTTGTCTAGAATCTTCTCTCTAACAAGATATAAAATATATATCTTAATAATTCAGATATCTCATCATCCTAATGTTTCATCTCACTATAACGCTCTTACAATATGCCTGTTGGTAGAAAAAAGTATACTAAAATTGTACACTAACTTATTTTATTGAAGATTATAGGTTGTACGCAGCTGATGAGAACACGACGAAACAAAAATGGATCTATGTTATTCTGCACCAGTGTTTCTCCTTTCTTTGTACAAAATTATTCCTCTCTAACGAATAAATGGAATTTCTTATGTAAGCAGCTTATTCCAATTTACCATATTTCGAAATATTTCTTACTTGAAACAATAATCATAAGGTCATCAGGTGAAACAGGAATTTCGCAGAACAAGATTATTTATTATTATTTCCTTTAATTCCTAGAGCAACATAGGGCTTCAGCCGCGCGTCTCCATTGCCTTCGATTTTCTCCCAACGTTTCACCCCGTTCCAAGTCTGCCCACACGCTTTCATCTCCTCTTCACATGACCTCCTCCAAGTCACCCTTGCACTGACGACCAACTCGCCGCTTCCCTTTCGGGTTCCACTCGAGCAGTGGCTTGTCTAGTGATGTCACTTGTTGGTTTCCTCAGAGTATGGCCAATCCACCTCCATTTCTTCCTGCCTATTTGTTGCACAATCGGTTCCTGCTGGGTTGGTTTGCTCATTGCCAGAGATCCCTGTTGCTGATCTTAAAGGAGGTTGTTTCTTTCAGGTCCCTCCTATTTATGCTGATTGTTGTTTCTGTTGGCCAGAACAAGAGGTCAAACTCTAACCGACTTCTGAAATTCTAGAATGTCTATGAGTTAAATAACAGTTGCTTTTTCTAAATGGCATAATGAATAAGAGTTCATTCCTTAATAAAATACGCTCTGAAAGTTGAATACCTATCACATCGAACCAACCTGTTTCAACACTTGCACAATACTAATTTGAAAAACACAAGAATCCATGAATCAATCTTTATAAAATAAGATCTAATAATTATTATACAGATAGATAGATGAAGAATAGTGAAAATGAATCTTGTCAAGAAGTGCTATGTACAAACAAACACACACACACGGACACACAGAAACATACACTTCGAAATGCACAAGAATTTCATAGTCAATTTCTGTGCTTCAGTGACGAAACAGCTGGCGTACACCAAGGTACAGTAAACCTGTTTAAGGGAGTAAAAAAATATACATATATTACTTACAGTTTTAATGTATTCTGTTAAAGCATAAAACTAATAGATAATGACAATAAAAGTAGATTAGAGCATTAAGAATATCTCTCACCACGATAGTTATGAATGATGAGAGCTTTAAAATCAATGAAAAAAGGATCTCTGTGTATTCTGATAAGGTGAGCAAAGGTTCACATATACACATGGATTCTTTCATTAGACACTAGGTAGTAACTAATTTCATGTTTCTAGTCCTTGGTGTTGGTGCAGGCTTAATTTCATCAAATAAATTTGCAATATGGTCATCATCGTTTCAACTACAGGCGGAACTGACGAGGATATCAAAGCCAGAATCGGAAAAGCAAGACAAGCTTTCATTACTCTCGAGTCTGTGTGGAGGTCAACAGCACTCACCATCAAAAATAAGATCCGGATTTTCAACTCCAATGTGAAGTCAGTGCTACTATACGGATCAGAGACTTGGTCAGCGCGTCATAAAGAGCATCTCAAACAAACTACAGAACTTCAATAACAGTTGTCTTCCACTCAATACTCAAGATCAGATGGCCGGCCAGAAAAGATCAGCAACAGGGATCTCTGGCAATGAGCAAACCAACCCAGCAGGAACCGATTGTGCAACAAATAGGCAGGAAGAAATGGAGGTGGATTGGCCATACTCTGAGGAAAACCATCAAGTGACATCACTAGACAAGCCATGCTCGAGTGGAACCCGAAAGGGAAGCGGCGAGTTGGTCGTCAGTGCAAGGGTGACTTGGAGGAGGTCATGTGAAGAGGAGATGAAAGCGTGTGGGCAGACTTGGAACGGGGTGAAAACGTTGGGAGAAAATCGAAGGCAATAGAGACGCGCGGCTGAAGCCCTATGTTGCTCTAGGAATTAAAGGAAATAATAATGATAGTATAATGGCCATCATACTAGGTGGCTCGTTATCATGGTTCACTCTCAGTTGTTGTTAGGTGATTGGACTCTTCCTGTTTCAGCCGTCTAGCAAAACATCTAGGTCCCAATAACTTGTTACCGATGAAGAAAATAACGGATGATATAAAAAAATTGTCTCCTTTTGAAGATAAAACAATGAAGTAATGGAAATCAGTGAGTCGGTGACACAGAGGTAGAATATGCGCCAACCACGCAGGTGAGTGGGGGTTCGACCCCTAACCAACGCACTCCTTTGCCTCCCTAAGCTGGTAATAAGACTGGTAAAGAGGGGAGGTTGGACATGACGCTCGTAATCCCATCCCGTAAAAGTAAATACCCCTGCTACCAAAACTTCAAGCCTTTAGCTTGAAGTCCTATGTTCCACTGGGAACGTAAAGGAATTAATAATGATAATGATAGTGGAAATCATCAACGGAAAACAACGATTAATCCATTATTAGTCTGTATAGTTAGCACATTTATTTTCAAATATTTTCACCACTTTTTTCATACAGACATACATTATGGAAAGTACATTCAAAGGAGTTAATAGAGAGAATGTTCACAGTTGTTTTTTGAGTCCTAAGTATTTTGTATTGTAATACAACTTGAAATACAAGAACATAGTCGTAAATCATATTGGATATACGAGCTATATTGAGCTGTATTGAAAGTAGTAATCAGATAAAGTAAACTCGGGGTATATGTAATACAGAGAAAAGATTTTCACAGATTTAATGACTGCTAAAATTTGATAGAAAGTTCGACGTAATTGACAACACACTTTAGGTGATCGATAATATGAAGAAAAAGGAATACTTTTAAAATTATAAAGAATAAGAAATTACGCAAAATGAAGCGCAGCTAATAATAATTATCACTAATATATGACATAGGCACATTACATATTGTGATAGGAAGGCTTTAAGCACCAGTAAGTACCAGTGAAGTGCGACCGCACCAATCACCTTGAAACGTCCAGTGAGCAAGTTAGTCAGACCTCATAAATAATACTGTAATCATTGGAAAAAATATACTTAACATAGCGTTATGCTATTAAATTGGATATCTGGCAAGTTTCAGGAGATCAAGTTAAGATCCAGGCTAAGGACAGGTTAATCAAAGGAGGTCAGAGAAGTTAAACTTTAAGCACCAGTAAGTACCAGTGGACAAATGACTTTGAGTGCACCCCACAGGATAAAGCCGACTTTTGCGTATAAAATACATTTTTATTCATGCAAATAATGAATTAAAAGGCATGAAACTGTTACACAGCATACCGTTTTTTGGTATGTGACATATATACCTCCCAGTTTTGGTTTGGAGCAACAAGAGAGTAATTTGACAACATTATATGCCTGTAATTATCTAGATCTTCTAACCCTAACAATGACCCTAATCTTTCGTTAACCTAACCCTAATTTGAAAATATCCCTAAACTAACTCGAACCAACCTCTAATGTCAGCCTCATTAGGTTAACCTAGCATTAACCTGTTCCTTATCCTAAATCTTAACTTAGTCTATCCCAAACCTATCCTGAAACTTGCCAGATATCCTATTTGATAAATAACACTTCGTTAGGCATATTTTATCCATGATTACAATATTATTTATGAGGTTTCACTGACATGCTTACTGAACGTTTCAAGGTGGTTGGTGCGGTCGCATTCCACCGGTATTTACTGGTGCTTAAAGTTTAACTTTGCCTATATGGGTTTGCAACTCAAGGAAAGGATCTCATCGGAAAATGCGTGCTTGTTGTATGATCCGTTGGTTTTGAATAACTTAATTGGTAATTTTTTTTTGTTTATTATCATAAAGCAAAACAACAGTGTACTTTTTCATGAAAAATAATTTTGTATGACTCATTCGAATGTTTTGTGTTTTACATTTATTTTAAGATGTTTGCAACGACTAGGTCGTTTCTGTATTAACCAATCACATGGTAAAGACACAATGTGTGAATGTTTCTGATTGGCTAGTAGAGCGGCGGTTAGTCTCATTTATGCTAATGATTGTGAACCTCTGCCAAAAAATTTTTAATATAAGAATTTTGAACTAAATTCATGCAATGAATCAGTCAGTGACATTGGATGAATGAATAATGTCACATAAATGAATCTAATTCATATCAGCAAATTATGATTTGTCTCGCCATTTTCTACTAAAATTGACCATAAACATGACATTGTTAGTAGACAAACCATACATCATAGATGTTTCTCTACATATATTAAGAATTATTGAACATATGAGCAAGTAACCTGCAATTTTAAGGATATGAATCCCTTTTGAGAAAATGCAAGACAACTGAAAGCTACTAGAAAGAACAGGACTGTCTTACGTACACAAGAAAACTGTATGCATATATTTACTATTCTGTATTACTTTTCTAATGTTATCGAACTTTAAAGAGTAAAGTTCAATAGCGTCCCAAGGGATGCAAATGCACGAGTGATCTTGAGGCGACCAATCATAAATATGGGGAATTTTTAGGCAAAATAAGGCGTATATTTTAAAAAAATGCATGAAAACACATTAAACAGGGTATCTTTCTCTGACATGACTTAAAAATACTGAGCAGTATCAGTTACTAAGTTAGGCTAGAGTCTGAACATGTATTCACCGAGGTGACTGAAGATGAGCTGTTTTTGATAATCATTTATCTCTCTTATCCTGTTGAGAACTCTTCCCCAAAAGCCCTCGGTTGAATTACTATGGTTTTCAGTAAGAGGATTGACGACTACCTACCATGAAAATGCGGATAAAAAAACAAATTAAAATAAATGATATCAGTTCTAAATCTATCCCTAATCGCCAATCTAACCTTAATCCTAATCCTAAATACAACCCTTATCCTAACCGTATATCTAACCTTAATCCTAATTATGACCCTGATCCTAACCCTAACCCCAAATGCTTACCGTAACCCCAATCCTAACAAGCTATTAACACACTGTCCAAACAGTACTTAGAGATATGATCTAGGTTAAATTTGTTCCTTAGTTGGTGAATAGCGTTGATATTTCACCAATGATAATGACAGGTGCCGTTAGCCACCGATTGGCATGAGTTCAAGGTCATTGGAGCATTCGCGCTCCGGGGACGCTATTGTTGAACTTCGCCCTTTAAAGTGTCTGCTACTTTAGTGATATCAATAAACAATGATATTAATACCACGATATGCTACGATGTGACATTGGTTCATTAGTAGTGTGCTAGCCACTAACCGCGCACGTCGTTCGGGCGAAACTCTCAGCCGACACACTGCTAAACGTCGCCTAGTTTACCAGCCAGCAATAAGTCTGGGGAAGAAGGAAGGTTGGGTGGCGGGCTAGTAATCCCACTCCGTAAAAATGACATCACATCTACTAAAATTACAAAACTTTAAGCCTGTCTTCCACTTAGAACGCGAAGGAATGAATAAATATCATGATAACAAAAAAACATGAATAATATACAGTGACTGACGAAGAATAAATGATATGAGATTTAAATGTGGGATATCAGTAACGATTGGGGAAAAAAGAAGGTAACCACTGCAAGTACTATAGTCATGTCTTGAGAATCTGAGCTGACTCGATGAAGAAAAGTATCTTTAACATTTTTGTGTAGCTGTACCTTGTACGGTTAAAATTGTTTTTCATATGCTAAATATGTGTTACGGCATTATTGTCATTATTATTCTGACTAGTCACTGAGGTAATAGGCTAAATATTTGACAATAAATTTCACTGCTACAGATAATATTCTCTAACTTTTCAAGCACCTTTTAGATGCAAGCAAATGATAACCGAGGTTTAAAATTCTTTTTTATTCTTTTGATTACAGCTTGATTCCACACTGTATTTTTGGTGCAAGTATGGAATTTTCAGAATGCGATATCGGTAGCCCAAATTTCGCAGGCCGACCATAGATATCAGGTGTGCGTCGGTGTGTTCTCGAATCCCAAACCATGTGCATAGTTGGCGAGAGTCTAACCACTGTGCCACCGACGCACCAAAGCCTGATTCGCCATAGGATTCGAGCCACCGACATTTGGATCGCCAGACA